AACTTTTCTGCGGTAAAAAGGAATAAATTATGACCACACCAACAACACAAGTGAAGTTCAAAAAAACATGTTGTCAAAGGAAGCTGAAAAGTACATACTGTATGATGTCATTTATGTGAAGTTTAAGACCAGGAATGGAGCCCTGGTGGCCGCTGGTACTGGGGGAGGATGGGGTGTGGAAGTTACTGCAAGGAGAGTAAGGAAGCCTTTGGGATGTTGGAGGCAGCAACTCTCTGGAGTGAGTAGCAGTTAGAGGAGGCTATGTGTATGTGTATATTCATTTAGGCGTGTATTTAAATTCACCTTATATACAGGAAATTCACTTTGCTGCATTTAATATTATCTACTTTTTAAATGAATGAGTTAATTAATGAATAGCACTTACGGAGTCCGAAAATCAGATTTTTGCCCCCCATCTTCTTCCCTAAAGCACTGGTGTCTTGAGTAACCTGAGCTCTGAGAACCTCTGATTTCTTATCTCTAGAGGATGATGTGTGACTATTTGCTCTGGATGCGTAAGGCCTTGGTGCAGCATATTGGACACAGGGCACATCTCCAAGACTTCAACAAATGGCAACTGGCAGAGTAATTAGAGTAATTACTATCGCTGTTGACTGTCATCACTAGTATTATTGTTATTATTACTATTATTATTAATAGTATTAGTAGGAATATTTTCTTGGATATGGGCTCCTTTTTCTGCCTAGTTCTCTGTCTTAAAACAAAACAAAAAAACCTCAAAGAGTGTTTCTCAGAAAAAGGATTTGCAGGCCTGAGCTAGAAACCTCCTTGAGAGAATTCACTGAAGGTTTGGTTGTTTTATGTTGTTCAAAAAGGAAGCTTTCGAAGGACAAGGTCCCTTGCAGGTCATGACCCTTGAGCCCTGCAAGCCCTTCCCCAAAGCAGCCCCTGCCCCGACGAACAGACCACAGAGCAGAGCGCAGGTGCTGGAACGCCCGCCGCACCCCTCCCCACCCCCCACAGCCCGGGGGACAGTTTATGCTCAGGGCTGTGGCACCGTGGGAGGAACTGTATAATCCTGCTGGCAGTAATAACTGGCAGCATCCCCAGCCTCTGCTGTGCTGATTTTGAGGATGAATTCTGTGAGACTGAATCACAGAGAACTGATCTGGGACACCAGACATTAGGTTATCAGCATCATAGATGAGAAGCTTAGGAGCCTGGCCTGGTTTCTGCTGATACCAGCTCAAGTAATCGCTGATGCTCTCGTTGGCCCTACAGGTGATGGACACGCTCTCTCTCAGGGACGCAGAGAGGAAGGCCGGAGACCGGGTCAGCCCAGAGCTCCCGCTAGCGGCTGGGAAGGGAGCAAAACACAAAGTCACCATTGTCTACCAGGTCCCACTCCACTTTCCTCCCAGAAGATTCTGGCGGCCCTGATCCCCTAACCTGAGAGCACCTGGGTCTCCGAGGGGAGGGGAGACCCCGGGTCAGGGATCCACAGAGCCCTGGGGCGATCCCACAGTCAGGAGGAGAGGACCCCCCAACCCCATCTCGGGGATGTCCCCTGCACTCCCCTCCTCGCCTGGGAGGCAGGCCAACAGAAGGCAGAGGAGCTGGGTCAGGACACCCATGTTCCATCCAAGGCTCTGCCTGAGGCTCTTGTTTGCCCCAGATGTCTGAGCAGCCTATTCATGAGGATTCTGAAGAGCAGAAATGGGCTCTGGGGGAAACACGCAAATCACCGAGGGGTTGGGCGGGTCTGGCTGCAGCTGCAGAACCAGTGCCTCCTGGGGAATCACACAAACCCAGGATTCACGTCCAGTCCCAGAGGAGCTTCTGCCAGGTGTTTGTCAGAAAAAAAAACTCTCTCTGGGGCGCCTGGGTGGTCAGTCGGTTAAGTGTCTGACTCTTGATTTCAGCTCAGGTCATGATCTCAGGGTCCTGGGATGGAGCCCTGTCTCAGGTTCCAAGCCCAGTGGGAAGTTTGCTTGAGGATTCTCTCCTTCTCTCTCTGCTCCACACCCATTTCCACTCACTCTCTCTCTCTAAAATAAATAAATATTTAAAAAAAAAAAGAAAAGAAAAAATCACCTCTAATTTTTCTGATCTCTATATATCCTCATGGCTCCAAATTTTGTACATCTTCTCAAAACAAGAAAATAATAGATCTGGGATGACCCTCCAAGACTTAAATTTTTGTATGAACATAAACTTTTCCCTATAGAATTCATGAGCTCTCATCTTCTAGGGATGGGTGTGAAATATCAGTTCTATATTGATATGTTACTTGGACTAAATAATGATGAATCATGGACAAAAAGATGAGAGAGTATATCCTGGGATCAAATCCATGCACTGCCTCTTCAGGCACTATGCAGTAGAGAAGGCTTATACATTGTTAGAGGCTATTTCCATGGTCAATATTATTCTTTATTTTGGAGGTTAATGTCATCTGGGTATTAACTTTCTCTGCTTTCTATTTTTACTGTTTCTCATTCTTCTCATCAGTTTTTGCTGATTATATTTCATGCCTTAGAGTAACTATAAGTTCTCTTTTGTCTGACACAGTCCCAATGTGATCTTTAACATTTAATAGCACCCCCTTTTTGCTCTCACAAATAACCCAGTTTGGGTGAAAACTTATATGACAGCCCTCTATTCTGATCTTTTTTATTCCTAGTTTACTAAGACATTTCTTAACTAAAAATTAGTAATGAATTGTTAAATTTTATCAAATATATTTATAACTATTATCAGCATGATCAAACACATGTATTTATATATTTTTAAAATATATATTTATAGTTACATCACCATATATACATATATAATAGTCCCAGAACATGAATACATGTATATTTAAGTATGTGCCACCTTAAAAAATATATATGCACCTATATGTATATTCTATATATATATGCATATTTTTCTATAAATAAGGTAATTTTAACTTTTTCTTCAAATATTATTTTGTCTTTGTTTCTTCTTAATATCTTTATGAACAGATTGCTAAATATTCATATTGAGGTCAATTTTAATAAAATGCATCTAAGTAAGTGTGTAGGTGTATAAATATTGTATTTGTCAGCTTTTGCATGATGATTAGTAATAAACCACTCACAACCAAGTGGCACACAATACTAAGCATTAACTTTAACATCCACAGATGTTCATGTTAACGATGGTTTGGCTGATCCAGGCAAGGCTCAGCCAGGTGGTTGTGTTACATGCCACTGAGATGCTGTCTAGCTTGTGGATAGTGTTTCATCTGGAACCAAGATGCAAGGGCAGTGACTACGCATTTTTCTTTCTTTCGTTTTTATTTTTTAAGTAATCTCTACACCCAGTGTGGGGCTTAGAACTCACAACTCCCAGATCAAGTCGCATGCTCTACCAACTGAGCCAGACAGGCACCCCTGCTCTGGGCAAAATATTCTAATGGCAAGTTTCAGAAGTGAGCAAAATCCCCAAACCAAGCTGCACAAGGGAATTTAAGTCCAATGATCTCCAACACAGGTGAACAAAATTTATATTCTTTTGCCTTTGTAATTCCTCAAGTTTCTAAAAACCTTTAATCTATTAAATTTTCAAAGTATTCCTCAAAAAGTTAAAAATAGAACCCTACTACCCGGTTAATCGCCCTACTAGGTATTTACCCAAAAAATACAAAAATGGTAATTCAAAGGCATACATGTACCTCTATATTTATAGCAGTATTGTTTACAATAGCCAACTTTTGGAAGCAGCCCGAGTGTCCATTGATAGATGAATGGATAAAGAAGATGTGGAATATTATCAGCCATAAAAAAGAATGGGGGCACCTGGGTGGCTCAGTCTGCCTTCGGCTCAGGTCATGATCCTAGGGTCTTGGGATCGAGCCCCGCATCGGACTCCCTGCTCCGTGGGAGGCTTGCTTCTCCCTCTCCCACTCCCCCTGCTTGTGTTCCCTCTTTCACTATATCTCTCTCTGTCAAATAAATAAAATCTTGAAAAATAAATAAAAAAATAAAAAAGAATGAAATCTTGCCATTTGCAATGACATGGTTGAAGATAAAGAGTATAATGCTAAGTGAAATAAGTCAGTCAGAGGAAGACAAATACCATATGATTTCACTCACATGTGGAATTTAAGAAACAAAACAAATAAGCAAAGAAAAAAAAGGAAAAGAGGGAGAGAGAGACAAACCAAGAAACAGACTCTTAACTATAGAGAACAAACTGATGGTTACCAGGGGCGTGGGGGGTGGGGGTGGGTGGGTGAACTAGGTGATGGGATTAAGGAGTGTGTTTGTTGGGGTGAGCACAGGGTGATGTATGGAATTGTTGAATCTCTATATTGTACACCGGAAACTAATACGACACTGTACGCTAACTATACTGGAAATAAAATAAGTATAAAATAAAATTAAGTTAAATTAAATAAAAACAAAGTATTTGATCATGTCATTGGCAGATAAGTGTTTTTAGATTATACCATTGTAAAAGTGTTTTCAAATCTAGTTTTGTGTTAACTCAAAATAAAGCTGAATGTGGTTTCAACATACAGCTTTAATAGAAATGGTCTTAAATGGCTTCATTGGAAAAAAAATCTTTTTAGCTGAAGTAAACATTCTCTAAACCTGGTAACTTGTTAAGGTGCAGATTCCCATCTCAAGGTCTAAGGTGACCCGCAATTTTGTGTTTATAAGAAGTTTGCAGTGATGTAGATGATGCTGCAGGCCGCTGGGAAAATGTTGAGGGAAAAGAATGGTATATTCATGTTTAGTGTTTTTGTGTGTGTCAAAAATGTTTTTCATCTATTTGTTAAATGATTGCTATATTTTTAATGTAATTTCCTCATTTTCTGTTTACCATATAACTCAATAAAGTTTCAGGCTGTGATCCCAGACCTGCTGATAATACTTGGAAGCACATTCAAGCGTCTTCTGGGTCCATCCTCCAGCCAGCAGAGCTCCGAGAGCCGGCCACCCATCATTGTCATCCCTTCTGGAAGCACATCTCCCCCTCGTTTTCTCTATAGCTTCCCTTCGAGGTGCTCAACGAGGCAGCCTCACTGGAATTTGGAGGTCAGAAGGGGAGGATTTGATCCTACCTATCAGCAGCTGCAGGCAGAGTGGACGAGGTGAGGCCCCGAGGATCACCAGGTGAGGGGCTTCAGAGGCTGCAGCATCAGCACCTCACCCCTCGCCTTCCCAGACAGGCCTGAGAACCACATGGTTAGGCAGCCTGTACCTTCGGTGGCGACATGCTCTGGCTTCTGGGGGAGCACCAGGGAATCACCCATTTCTAGCCTCTGCTCTCCTTCTTATCACACTCCCTAGACTTTGAAAGGTTTTGAAAGGTTATTGTTCAGAGTCAAACTCTATGAATTTGAAACATTCCTGCTTGGAATACCTAGAGTGGCTTCTCTTTTGCTGTACGAAGCCTGGCTGATGCCATACCCCACACTCCTCAGGTGTAATCATCTGGGGGAAAGGGAGTCAGTCAGGGGGCCGAGGAGCCTCCCTGCCCCTCTCCCAAAGCTCCCAGTGACCTCCAAAGTGGGGCTGCCTCTGTGAAACTCTCTGAGCAGATGTGGGCACCAGGGGAGCAGCGAGGGCAGCCCAGCGCCTCACGTCTGCTTCCCTGGGGGTTTATGTTCTGACCTGTAACACTGTGGGCGGGTTGCTGTTATACTGTTGGCAGTAATAGGTCCCAGCATCTTCAGGCTCCAGACTGCTGATGGAGAGGGTGAAATCTGTCCCAGACCCACTGCCGCTGAACCGCGACGGGACCCCAGTTTGCAACTTGGATGCTTCGTAGATCAGGGGCTTAGGAACTTTCCCTGGTTTCTGCTGATACCAGGCTAACCACCTGTTAAGTGTTCTGACTGGCCCGGCAAGTGATGGTGACTCTGTCTCCCAGAGATGCCGACAGCGAGGATGGGGACTGGGTCATCTGGATTTCAGAACTGGCTCCTGGGATTGGAAACATAGAAACAAATATCCACACTATGAATCATGTTATAAGAGGCCTTCGCTGGGGGACCACACTGGCTGAGTAAATTCCCAGGGTTCTCCTTCCTTACCTGGGAGCCAGATCAGTAGGAGGCCCAGGAGCTGAGTGGGAGCCTTCACGCCCATGCTGTGTCCTGACTGGGACTGCGTCCTGCCCAGGGTGTGACTAGCCTGTTAATTAGTGTTCAGGGAAGTGGGTTGTGCTCCAGTGATATGCAAATCAGCAGGGAATGGAACATAACTGGGCACAGCCGCAGGGTTGAGTTATCGCAATAATGGTACAGATGCAATAACCCTTCTGCTCTGGGTAGCATAGACGTTGTCACAATGTTTATTCTTCCAATCCATGAGCATGGAATGTTTTCTCACTTCTTTGTGTCTTCCTCAATTTCTTTCATAAGTGCTCTGTAGTTTCTAGAGTACAGATCCTTTGCCTCTTTGGCTAGGTTTATTCCTAGGTATCTTACGGTTTTGGTGCAATTGTAAATGGGATCGACTCCTTAGTTTCTCTCTCTTCTTTCTCACTGTTAGTGTATAGAAACGCAATTGATTTCTGTACATTGATTTTCTATCCTGCCACTTTGCATGAGTTCTAGCAGTTTTGGGGTAAAGTCTTTTGGGGTTTCCACGTAGAGTATCATGTCATCTGCAAAGACTGAGAGTTTAATTTCTTCTTTGCTGATTCATATGCCTTTTCTTTCTTTTTGTTGTCAGATTGTCCTAGCTGAGGCTACAATTTCTAGTACTATGTTGAACAGCAGTGGTGAGAGTGGACATCCCTGCTATGTTCCTGATCCTAGGGGAAAAACTGAAAGCTTGAGAATGATATTCGCTGTGGGCTTTTCATAGATGGCTTTTATGATATTGAGGTATGTTCCCTCGATCCCTACACTGTGAAGAATTTTAATCAGGAAAGGATGCTGTACTTTGTCAAATGCTTTTTCTGCATCAGTTGAGAAGATCATATGGTTCTTGTCCTTTGTTTTATTTCTTTAATGTATCACATTGATTGATTTGCGAATGTTAAATCATCCTTGCAGCCCAGGAACAAACCCCACTTGGTCCTGGTGAATAATCTTTTTAATGTACTGTTGGGTCCTATTGGCTAGTATTTTGGTGAGAAATTTTGCATTCATGTTCATCAGGGATATTGGCGGGTAATTCTCCTATTTGGTGGGATCTTTGTCTGGGTTTGGGATCATGGTAATCCGGGCCTCATAGAAAAAGTTTGGAAGTTCCCTTCCATTTCTATTTTTTGAAACTGCTTCAGAAGAATAGATATTAATTCTTCTTTAAATGTTCAGTAGAATTCCCCTGGGAAGCAATCCGGCCCTGGACTCTTGTGTGTTGGGAGATTTTTTATTATTACTACGTCAATTTCCTTGCTGGTTATGGGTTGGTGTTAGAAGTTTTATCACACTTAGGAAGCTGGAGCGCCTGGGTGGCTCAGTCGTTAAGTGTCTGCCTTTGGCTCAGGTCATGATCCCAGGGTCCTGGGATCGAGCCCCGCATCGGGCTCCCTGCTCGGCGGGAAGCCTGCTTCTCCCTCTCCCACTCCCCTTGCTTGTGTTCCCTCTCTCGCTGTGTCTCTTTCTGTCAAATAAATAAATAAAATCTTAAAAAAAAAAAGAAGTTTTGTCACACTTAGGAAGCTTTTCACTTGTGTTGCCTGGTCGGACAGAGCACTCAGAATGATGGAGGACACACGGCTTAGCTGGAGACAGGTTAGCAATGGCAGATACTCAATATCTGGGCACTTACTTACACATCATGACACCCACAGTTTTTTACTACTCTTCTACCTCATTGCATCTCTGGATGGTAGTGATGATAATTTCTTATGCCAAGAATAGCAGGAAATTATAGCAAAGAAAAATCTCTGTGGCCTCAATAATATTCACAAGCACCAAATAAGAGGAGTCTGTACAAGATCTTAGAGTATCTGGGATTGTATAATATCTGATGGATGCCGTCTTAGAGACACAGTAAGAAAAGTGTACCGTGAATCTTAAAGAGACCAAAAGAACTCTCTATTCACAGGACAGCAGACTGATTCTGTCCCGTAACCTCCAGGGAGAAACACCTCTGCAGGCAAATTTGTGCTGCTCTGGTTGAACCTGGTCACTGGGGGGTTATTGCATTTTAAAAAATGAAAAGAAAAAAAAAACCTAACACCAGCTTTGGCAGCCAGAGGTTGTTGCCTACATAAATATTTTTATTCTAGAAATCAAGAATTAATAGAATTCTAAGAACTTATCACAAGATAAATATTGATATAATCCTCTTCGCTTCTGTCAGGGCTGGGCTTTGCTGCTGGACGGACTTTTTACAATAAGAGCACCAGGTGCAGTGTCTCCCGGGAGTCCCAGGCCAGACCTGCACAAAGAGAACATGTTTGTCCATGAGGGCCACAGGACAGAATCAGAATGACAAAAGCCCAGAAATTCAAAGAAATTTTACAAGGTCCTTGCATTCGGTGATTATACATCTTTTAAGACAGAGAGTCTTCTTCTTCACTCCGATACCCTGATGTCCTTGGTGTGAGAAATTAGCAGCACAGGGGCGCCTGGGTGGCTCAGTCGGTTAAGTGTCTGCCTTCGGCTCAGGTCATGATCCCAGGGTCCTGGGCTCGAGTCCCGTGTCGGGCTCCCTGCTCCATGGAGAGCCTGCTTCTCCCTCTCCCTCTGCCTGCCGCTCTGCCTATCTGCACTCTCTATCTCTCTGTCAAATAAATTTTTAAAAAATCTTAAAAAAAATTATCAGCATAGAGAGAGAAACCCAGGATATTTACAGATTGTTCCTCTCAATATTCAAGTGTGTACTGATCAACACATGCATGTCAAGAACCTACTGAGGCTGGAGAAAAAACTGCACGAGAATATTACAGGGATAATTTGTCAGAGCTCACACAAGGCCAGAAAGAGTTATTGTGTGCACCAGTGAGAGTAGAAAACCTCGTGATTCACAGGGCATCCAGCTGAGGACTCAAAAAGCCTTTGCCTTGGGAGTGGGGCAAATTACCCCTGGACAAAATGCTATTCTGGTCCCAACTAACAGAGCTTAAAAGCAAGACGCAAGTTCATCAGACAGATTCAAGTGGCAAGATTTGATATTTCGAAAAGAAAGATTAGTAACTTTAGCTTTAGAAATTGTCTAAAGTGTAGTATTGTGAGAAAAACAGTACTTAAAAAAGCATGAACAGAGAGAGCATCAGTGAACTGTGTGACAACTTCAAGCAGTCTGTTACATGAATAATTGGAGTCTTGAGAAGAGAAAGTGAGGAAGTACAAGAAACATTTTGAAAAAAAAATTGGCTGATTTTTTTTTCAGTTTTAAGAAATCTTTATCAGGACTTGCACAATTAAAAATCCAGAGTCCACTTGAAACCATGTACTTGATGGTTGAATATAGAAGTGCAAGGCAGATCACACAGAACTTCCTCCATGGTCCTGGTGCAGTTGCAAAGAAGTTCTAGAAATTGAGTTGTCTGGGGAATGTCAGAAAAAAATTGTCTCCAAAATGAAAACACATTTTCAGGGGTGCCTGGCTGGCTCAATCAGAACAGCATGTGACTCTTGATCTTGGAGTTGTGAGTTCGAGGCCCATGTTGGGTGTAGAAGTTACTAAAATAATCAAATAAACTTAAAAAAAAACCCCACATTTTCAGTAACTGAGAAACAGACTCTACACCAGGAAGTCCTCTTTCGATTTGAAGCTAGTACGTATTCATTTATTTAGTTATCTGTAAGGTTGCCTGTTTTGAGTGAGACCCAGAGAAGACCAACACTCTGCAGTAAGGATAATCTGCAGAGGAATTGATGACCCAGCAGGGCAGTGATGCTTAAGGGGCTTATGGCGCATAGGGAGAGCGTTTGGAGGCTCCAGAAAGCTCCAAAAGGAGAAGTACAGTACGGACCTCTAGAGTATTGGGATAGTGCCATGATCTCTTTGAACAACTCTCTTTTTAAGATAGGGTCCTGGCTTGCTCTTAAGTCCTGGAGAGACTACATGTTTTATATAGATCCTGAAGTAGACATGTGATCTAACCTGTACGAATTGAGTGGTAACATCCAACAAGCCATAACATACCCATGCACAGCAGTATCCTATCATCAGGTAGAAATGGGGTATACAGGCTAGGCCTTGACATAGTTCCCAAGGCACACAGGTAAGTTGTTCAAACTCTCACGGCACCTGCGCTTGCTGAATTGCTCCCTTTCCTTCATCCTAATCCTATGGGGATTCATAAAAAATAATAACAATTCAGATCCAGTGTATGCAAGATATGCATAAATTGAAATCAGAAGTAGAGTTTTATAGGCTTAAAGACCACTTTAAGAATAGTCAGGGAAGAGCATGTAGGGAGAAATTCATCTAGTGGGCAGAACTCAGAATTGGGTTCTCCAGTCCACTTTACCTCTCATAGAGATAACTTGAATCAGAGTCTTCACTCACTCAGGGGCAGCAATTAACAGTGTGGTCACATGGTCAGAACACTGGATAAAACAAGACTGGGAGATTGATGAAAAGGAGCGCAAAAGTAGAGTTTTATGAATAGACCTCTGGCCTGGACACATACTGTAAGAGTATTTGTGTCCTACACAAATGTTCACCTCAACACACACCCTGCACAAGGAGCTCTCAATCATCAGGCAGAGTAAATGACCAACTCTGTGGATGTCAGGTAGCCTCTTATCCAGACACCCCAGTGCTTGTTCATTGAGCTCGGGCATAAAGTGGCCATGGTGGCAAGGATGGAGGCTATGCATGGACTCCACAACATGGACTTTCCCTAAACAAGACTTATCCAGCTTTTTGACTCTAGGTAACTGTCGAGCGAGACAAAGGAAGAGATCAATACTGATCCCTGAACTCTCACAATGGCTTCAGGGCCTGGGGCTTCTAGCTAATCACCTGGTGGCTATATCCCCTTGTCTTTCCCTTACTTTTTAAATAAGGTTTATTTGTAGTGATCAACCTGATAATTCGTTCTTTAAATTACCTAATATAAAAGTGATTGTGCCTGACCTGGAAAATAAATAAGCATCCCCTTCCGGGGAAGAAGGAGAACATGTCTTGAGTTTTACTGGAATCACGGCATCATATTAGCTAGATGCACGATGGCACTGGACTTTAGTTGGAAACATAAACACACATAAACAAGTGTTTTGGACATTGGAGGACAAGGGAGTGGAGCAAATTGCCTATATATCTGCTTAGCATCACTGCTTTGCCCTTCTACAGACTCATCTGCATCACTTCCCACAAACCCTTTCCCCTATGACTCTAGATCTTGTTTGGTTAATGGAAGGTGTTTGTGTAAGATCTAAAAATTGGAACAGCATGGGAAAAACTTACTCTCCAGTGGCATTATGGGCCAAAGTATATGCAGGTCACAGATGGGTTTCTTCTAATTCTTGAGGTTTATCATGGGTTCTGAGCTATCTCTGGGGACTCATCTTCTTTGGAGCTGCCACTGAAATTATTTGTAGCAGATTTTCCATGATTCAGGAATTTCTTGATTTGAGGAACTCTGGAAGTGGCTTCCTTGACCTTTACTCCTCAGACTCCCCAGTGTTCAACCCTATAATACCCTGGGCTAAGCCAACTTATTTGGAAATTCCATGAGGGCATCTGTTTTCCTGAGAAAAGCCCAACTCCATCTCTCTTTTAGTACAGATTTTGTATCTTTGAAATAAGTTCTCTTATTTAAAGTCTTAAGATGCCCATTAACTGCTTCCTTCATCCCATCGTTTTCCTCCTGATGATGGCAGGCATTCAAGGCACAAAGCATTTTTTCCTCATCCTAGTCCCATAGGAAAAAAGGAGTCCTTAACTCCCATGCTTTTCTGCTATTACTTGGAAATCCTTGTGTAAATTTATAATGTATAACATTCCTAATTTAAAAATAGAGTCTGTATGTTTAATAAACATAAAACATGCTTTTGGGTTTAATAGAAATTAACTGGCTCAAAAATTCACATAAAAATTAATTGATGCATCTAAGGGTACAATTTCTAATTACAAACTTAGCAAAATGGTACATGAAATTGGATACATAAATTATAAGATAACACAATTCAACTTGTTCTGAGAGGCTCTGAACATTCAAAATAATGTTATCAAAATAGAAGTACAAAGGGAAAAAAACCCCAAAAGAATGAAAAAATTACTAAGGAAGGAAGGAACCCACAAGCCCACCATCTTGTGCAGTAATTTCTCTTGAAGTGTGTTGATTATTATTTTATCAAGGAAAGAGTGAATCACCTTCACTATGAGCTCAGCAAACCTTTCTGCTCAGCAGCTGTTGAGACACCAAGCAGTCCCCTTGCCTAAGAAGAAATAGCTAGAACCACAAGGCCTCCCTGGGTGACAAGCTTGAGCGCAGTAGGTTTGTGTTCACAGATGTAAAGTTGTGAAAGCAAGTTATATATTTGACAAAATATCCAGTATCACAAAGCCTTTGAGTTGCTGTTTACACCCAGAATCTATGAATTTTACAGAACTAGGCTAGGGTTCCAGAACATTGGTTGATCACTTTGTAAACGAAAAACTTAGGAGCCTCTCCTCGTTTTTTGTGTTTTATAAACTAAAGTCACTGGCTGGCTGCTGATGGTGAGTTTGTCTCCTGGAGTCATGGACTCAGAGGCTGGGAACTTGGTCAGCACGATGTCACCTCTGGCCCCAGGGAGTAAACATGAGGCAAGTGTCCCCAGTGTTCTCCAGATTGAAGCCACCACATTCCCAGCAGAGTGAATTTGGCTCCTCATGCCCCAGTGTGGGTACAATGCTCTCTGCCTTGGCCCCTCCAGGATTCTTCCTCCCAGTGATTTCTCTGCCCATGGCCACATCCCTTTGCAGCTCCATCCGTCAGGCGGTAGAGGCTGTATGCTCCGCCCTTGATTCTGGGCTAGCCTGTGTCTTGCGCTGGTCAATAGAATGTGGCAGACAGGATGTTGTTCTAGCTCCAAGCCTAGGCTCAAGAGATCTTGCGTAATTCCTCCTTAGTTTCTTGGTCCCTACAACTTCCCTATGAACAAGGCCTGACAGGCCTGCTGGAAGATTAAAGACCATGTGGAAAAGAGTCCAGCTGCCAAAGATAAAGCTATTCAAGAGCAGCCTACAGCCAGCCAACCCTCAACAGTCCATAGAATTATGAGCCGAATAATAACTAAACATTCTCCAAAGCAGATGAAAAAGTCAACCCACAGATCCAAGGAAGCTCAACAACCCGCAAGCAGGATAAACACAGAAAATAACAGTTAGGCACATTGTAGTAAAACTGATGGAAACTGGTCATAGAAGAAAACCTTAAAAGAAACAAGATAGGAAAAAAAAAGTATCAGAGCACAAAAAAAAAAAAAAAAAAAAGGACTGCACACTTCATGCCTAGCTGACCACAGGACAACATCTTCAAGCACTGAAGGAAAAATATGTTAATTTAGAATTCTATTTCTAGTAAATATATCCTTCAGAAATAAAGGTGAAATAAACCATTTAAAGATGAAAAAGAAACAGATAATTTGTCACCATCAGACCTGCACCACAGAAACTCAAAGGAAAGTACTGGCAGAAGATAAATTTCACCAGATGGAGACACAAAAGAAATGAAGAGCACCAGAAATGGTAAATGATAGGTACATATAAAAGACTTGTCTTCTGATTTACAGTTTCCTGAAAGACAATTGACTAAAGCAATGTGAATAAGAATACATTGCGAGTTTTAAAATATATGTAAAAGTAAAATGCATGACAAAAATAGCACAACGATGGGCATGGGGTGATGACAGTACATAGTTATAAGGATCTCACTGTGTAAGTGAAGAGGGAGACTATTAACTTACAGGAGACTGGGATACCTGCCAATGCAAAGAGTAACCCATGGAACAAGGCTTCTCAGTGTGGGCACTGTTAACATTGTAGACGTGAAAATTCTTTGTTGTGGGGAGCTCGCCTCTGCATCCAGTGGCGTGACAGGGGATGCAGGTTGGGGAGAAGTATTCACAGTGGTCAGTGGATGGTGAAAATACAAGTTGCGTTATTATTAATTTATAAATTTCTACGGTCAGGTCAACCCTTTGGACCCTGCACCTGGGGGTGGAGGTCTCTAACTACCCCTTCCCTTGTTTAGACTAAGAGGAGTCCCGAGGCTCCCAGCCAACAACCAGCACCAGCTGGCAGACATGGGGTGAGACCAGCTTAGGTCTTTCAGCCCAGCTGACCTTCCAGCAGACTGCAGGTGCATGAGCAAGCCCCGGCAAACCAGCAGAGAAAACACCCAGCCAACCCACAGCATCGTGAGAAATAATGAGTTGTTGCTCTTTTAACCCTTTAAGTTTTGGGGTGCTCTGTTATGCTGTAATAGATAAGAGAACAGCAATACCTGAATCCATCTAAAGTTTCTGTCTAGATCGCTGCTTGGCTCTGTCCACCTCTGCATTTTCCTCTATGTAGATCTGGTTTAAATGGGAGACGGTAACTCTCCAACCTGCCCCTGCTGTACCAGGTCAGAAGACTTGGACTCTGAGAGTATGGAATCTAAAGTCTGGGTACATCACTCCTCTCATGCTGTAGCCTCCTGCAGGAAGCAGGTGTCTTTGTTCAACAACTGGCATCCACAGCCCAGAAGGGTATTTTTGTCTGAGGACCTGTCACTGGGAGAGGCCAGCGGAAGTGCTGCTGGCAGTAATACACCCCCGCGTCTTCAGCCTCTACTCCATGGATGGTGAGGGAGAAGTCAGAGCCAGAGCCGCTTCCCCGGAACCGGAATGGGGTTCCGGCCGCCCGGGCAGAAGCCCCAAAGATGAGCAGCCTGGGAGCCTCGTTGGGTTTCTGTTGGTACCAGGCCATGGAGGTACCTACCTCCTCGCTACTTCTACAGGTGATGGAGATGAAGCTGTCCTGAGATGCTGCTAGGGTCTCTGGGGTCTGAGTCAGGACGAGCCGCCCCCTGCAGCCTGCAAGGACACCCCATCCAGGCAACACAGTGTATTACGTCAGTCAAAGGCTTCGAGGAAATATCGTTCCTCAGAAGAACCATGCCATGCTTAAACTTGACAGAAACGAGAAGTCAAGAGCCCCCGGGCCTTCCCACCTTTGCCTGTGTCCAAGAATTCACATAGTTTTCTGTTGATGGGTCCTCGGGCCCAGGGTAAGCTATGAAACGTGACCCAACAGGGCACAGCTCCCCCCCCCCCACAAGAGGCCGATGGACGCATCCCTCCCTTATAGCCTAAACGGTCCCTGGTGAGCTTCCAAAGACAGGGTGGGCATGCGGTGGGAGCATGGACAGGGTCCTCCATGGTCCTCAGGTGGCCGAGGACAGGTTCAGGGCTGTTTGTGCCTCTGCCTCATTGTCAGCCTTGGGCTCTGTGCCCGGATTTCCTACTAAGCATTAAGTCAAAACCACACCACATATCCCACTCTAATTGCCCAAACCCCCTTTTGAGCATATGATCTCTGTGTCAAAGGCTAAAGGTCCAGTTCCCGATCAGCAGTGGGAAACATGCTTACCCTGAAAGCCCATCACCAGGAGACAGAGGAGCTGGGCCTGGAGGCTCATCTTGGAGTATCCCCTGAATCTGTTGCTTCTGCACCAAAGGGCAAGAAGGATGGGGCTGGGCAGGTAGATCGTGGTCAAGGCTGCTCTGGAATGAGGGCCCATGCCCAGGGTTAAACAAGCACGGGTCTCCATGGAGTCGATTTGCATGTCTGAAGGCCTGACAGAGCTCTTCTGTCCTGCCTCTCAGGCTGGCAGGCTCCCTCTGCCTGCAGCTGGAGGAGGTAGTAGAGGTGATGGAGGTGCCTCTGGTCCCACGGAAGCTGAGGTTGGATTGAGGGAGACCAGGGAGGCTGGCCTATTCACAGGGCTCCTCTCCAGAGATAGCCAGCTACCTGCAGAGTGATCACTCAGGGATCTATTGTTACAGAAATGGGGTCTTGTTCTGCTTTCTGCTCTAACTAGGTGCCAAGTTAACCATTGATTGAAGCCCAGACCAGACAGATAAAGCAAAATAGTCAAGCTACACTGCTTCATCACAGAGAATATATTTCTGAATATACACAACAACAGAGACTGGTACTTAAAATTAAAGTTAAGTTGGGGTTGAAGAAAATAGTTATTATGAGGAGCCGGATGCCCACAAAGAGAATTCTGGTACACATTGCTGACCCAACAATGCAGCACAATGTCTAGCCCATGTCTCAAGAGAAGGGATGGTGTTTCCTGCCTCTGGAGACCACAGCTGTGGCCTTTACCTTCACTCCTGTGTGTTGGAAGCTGGAGCAGCCCAAGGGTCTCAGGTTGGATCTTCTGCACACTTCTGCAGCCTTCCAAGGCAAGGTTATAACTCGAAGGTCCTGTGGACAGGACCCAGAGAGAACAATGGGGATGAAGTTTTGGGGGACCTCCTGGGATGTTGGGAAGATATTTTCAGTGTCCTCCTAACTGGCTCCATGGAGCATGCTTGTATGGTTCAACCTGGTCCCCTTCTTTTTGTCTGTCTATTTGTCATCAGCCTCCCTAAGGAAGACCCTGTCAGTTACAGGTCAACAGAACACAGGGAAAAGAGGTAGTAGGCAAGTCCCCAGGGGCAGCACACAGACCTGTGGTCACCTTGACTCTTCTGCTTCTAGAACCTACCAGTGTTCAGAGAACCTGAGTTCTGGGAAAACAAAAGGGTTGAACAATCCCGCTACTAGCATTTAGAATCCCCCAGGAATTTAAGGAGACATTTAGGAATAAGTTATTGTCTCCTCACTGGAAGTAAAGACTTTTATTGGCTCTATAAAAGAATCTTTCATGACCAAGGAAGAATCTACATGTTGAGGAGGGTTGAAATACAAATGAGGAGCCCGATGTGGTTAGAGATGAAGATGAGGCTGTGTGGTCACTGGATGCCCCCCTGCTTTCTAGATGGCAGCCCTGTGTAGGTGCCAAAGACTCAGAATGGAGAGGGACATCAGCAAACTGCCCACAGAGAGAGTATGCACCTTCCTCTCCTGCAGACCTGCTAGTAGGCAGCAGGAGATCAGCTCTAGACTTAGCACTGCTAATCTGGGCTGGTGGGACCAGGGCGTGGGTGTTGTGTTGTGTGTGATAGAACCAAGCTTACTGCTCTAAAAGCACTGGCCCCGGTGGCAAGTGGGACAGCCTCTGAGGGAGACAGGAGTGAAGAGTGAAGGCTGGATTTGCACAAAGTGTCCCTGGCCTGGTGAAAGCTCTTCAGTAATTATCCTCTTCAGGGCACCTGAGTGGCTCAGTCAGTTAAGCATCCAACTCTTGATCTCAGCTCAGGTCTTGATCTCAAGTTCAAGCCCCATGTTGAATTCCATGCTGGGCGTGGAGCCTACTTTACACAATAAAATAAATAAAATAAAATAAAATAAAATAAAATAAAATAAAATAAAATAAAATAATCCTCTTCTTCATGAGAGATACCCTGTCCACTGGAAACAGATTCTCAGCCGTCTAAATTTAGAAACTCCTCAGCATCCAAAGCAGAGTGAGCCTTTCCCCATAGTTGGGCAAAGTCTAAAAAATCAGGCATACAGAAAGTATCTCGGTCTGATCTTTGAAGAACACCATGGTTCTTGGGAGAGAAAGGTAAAGCCTCCCTCACTCCTGGCTCTCCAGGGAGGGGGAGAAAGACCCCGTGAGGCCCTAGGGAATGAAGAACTTCAGCAGTGAGTGCTGCCTCACGCTCTGCCTGGAGTAGATAATACTCTCCCCCCACCTTGTCCCCCTGAAAATCCCTTTTTCTCTTTGAAGCCTCTCCTCTCCACACCGTTTCCCTGACTCCCATAGCCAGTGCCCCCTTTCCTCCACACACTCATCTTATCTTCACTATAACCACAGCACATCTCAGTTAAGCCGTAATATGTATGTATTCATGAGTACATAATTATTTATGTGTCTAGGGGTCCATCTTTCCTAATAGACAGTGGCTTCCTTGAAAGTAGGAACCAAAGATTTCAATATTTATATCTCTAGGGCCAAGGGTCAATAGCCCTGTACTGTGTAAGGAAGTCCCCACCAGCAGGGACAACCCAGAAGCTCCTGTCATTCTCCAATGCCTCTCTTCCCCAGTCATGGAGCAGGAGTGAGGGGAGGGAGACACTCAGGTAGAAGGGGTTCTTCCAACTCTTCCATCCCCTCTTCATGGCGATGTGATCCCAGGGCATCAGCTGATTTGGAGATGATATCTTACCAGGAGCCCTGGGTTCTTGGCTGGGCACTTGAGAGATTGGGTCACAGGAAGCCTCCCTGGTCCACAGTTGGCCAGATTCGTCACTGTAATATGAGAGCAAAATATTTCCCTGAGTCCCTGCAGCCTGTCCTGGAGGGGAGAGATGTATCAATTTGGTAGGAAAGTGGACCATTCTAATAGCCTTCAGCAGTAACTGAGGTCAGGTGAGGGGCAAGTAAGCAAGAACTTGATTTTTGTGTCACAAATCAGAGAGACAGTAGGATATTATATTCCTAATTGAGGGATATCTCCTATCTCCTGAGCCAGGATATGTCCAGAAAAATGATTCTTACCCCAGACTTTGCAAAATGTTTCAAAGTGTCTCATGAGCTTAAGAAAAATATAACCAAATTATAGTCATTTCCATACTTCGGGTAATTTAGGTATGCCACTCAGCCAATACCAAATACCCTGTCCCCAGTAAGTAAAAAGGATTAAAAAGGGAGACAACCAGTTAGAACAGCAAAAATTGAAAAGACAAGAAACAACAAATGTTGGAGAGGTTGTGGAGAAAGGGGAACCCTCTTACACTGTTGGTGGGAATGCAAGCTGGTACAGCCACTTTGGAAAACAGTGTGGAGGTTCATCAAAAAGTTAAAAATAGAGCTACCCTATGACCCAGCAATTGCACTACTGGGTAATTACCCCAAAGATACAGATGTAGTGAAAAGAAGGGCCACATGCACCCCAATGTTCATAGCAGCAATGTCCACAATAGCCAAACTGTGGAAGGAGCTGAGATGCCCTTCAACAGATGGATGGATAAAGAAGATGTGGTCCATATATACAAAGGAATATTACTCAGCCATCAGAAAGGATGAATACCCAACATGTGCATGAATATGGTTGGAACTGGAGGAGATTATGTTAAGTGAAATAAGCCAAACAGAGAAAGACAATTATCATATGGTTTCACTTATTTGTGGAACATAAGGAATAGCAGGGAGGACATTAGGAGAAGGAAGGGGAAATGAAGGAGGTATATCGGAGGGGGAGATGAACCATGAGAGACTGTTGACTCCGGGAATCAAACTGAGGGTTTTGGCGGGGAAGGGATGAGTGAGCCCAGTGATGGGTATGAAGGAGGGCACGTTCTGCATGGAGCACTGGGTGTTATACGCAAACAATGAATCGTGGATCACTACATCAAAAACTAATGATGTACTGTATGGTGAATAACATAACATAATAAAAAATTATTTAAAAAAATAAAAAGGGAGACAAAAGTGGATCATAGTTGAGACAGTGACCACAAATACCCTCCATGAGAGCTGAGGACCACAGCCCCTACATACAATCAGAGGTCCAAAAGATAATAGCCCATGACTTTCTCTGTAAAGACAGCTTCTCTCCAGATGGTTAAGGGTTATCTCTGGTGATGTCTTTTTTGTTCGAGGTAATGGATGACACAGCAGGTCATTAAAGAAAAATCCTGAGAAAGGTCTTCCTTTGTGTGCCCCTCCAGGCCTAGACATACTTGACGTTGGATAAGAGAAATGCCTTGTGAACATAAGAATGAGAGAGAGAGAGGAGAGAGAGAGAGAGAGAGGTGTGTTCACAGAGAATTGATACTGCAATAGTAGAGCAGGCTATGGTCATGGCCCCTAAAGGTATCAGATCCTAATTCTGCAATCCAAAACATTACCTGATATGAAAAAGGGTCTTTGTGATTAAATCAAGGATCTTGAGATGAGATTATATTGAATTAACCTAAGTGCAATCACAAGTGTCCTTATAAGAGAGAGGCAGAGGGGGTTGAACACAGCAGAGGAGAAGGCTAAGTGAAGTTGGTGGTGGGGATTGGAGTAGCAGCAGCCACAAGAACCTACAAGAGGTAAGGCATGGATTCTCCCCTACAGCCTCTGACTTCATCATGACCCTGCCATAGCCTGATCTTGGCCCAGAATTCTGGCCTGAAGAGCTGTGAAAGAAAACAGTTCTGTTAAGCCACTGTTTGGATAACTTGCTACTGTAGCCATAAGAAATAAACACAAATGGGGCTCCAAGAAGCTCCATACTAAAGGCACTGTTGTTTGTAATCTCCTTGGCTAACTTTCTAATGCTGTACCTAAATGAATTGGGGAACATTTTTATGGTGGAGAGTGATGTTAGCAAGATGGTGGACTAGGAGGTTCCACCCTTTGTCCTCCTATAGAAACAATGATTTAATGGCTACTCATGTACAAAAATTGCTCTGAGAGAGTTCCACACTGCAATTAAGAAGATGCAGCAACCCAGGGAGTCACAAACACTAAGGATGGCTGCATAGAAAGTGTGGGAAGCATTTTACCTGTGTCACCCCATCCCCCAGACCACCACAGCTTAGCACCAAGAGGAATCCCTTTGAGCATGACTTCTCTCCTTGGAGGAAAAGGAGAGGATGCCAGCAGCCTTCCCCAGAGGTGGGGGGCCATCAGCACCATTGTGGATGTCACAGTCTTCATAGCTGAGGCCCCCCACAACCTTCCTCAGTATGGATTGCGTCTGACGGAACTGC